AATACTCTTAGCAATGGCCTCTTAGAGAGAGAGAGAGAGAGAGAGAGAGAGAGAGAGAGAGAGAGAGAGGGAGAAAGAGAGAGAGAGCGAAACAAATAGAAACACAAAGAGAAAGGTATTCTTTGGTTCTAATAAAAGTAGAAAAAGAAACTTCTAGCCAGGAGTTCCTTTTATGAATAACCTGAATAGCATGGATACTCTGTAGTTAAAGAGATCTTACTATTAGTTAAATATACACATATATGTATATATACACACAAATACATAAATACAGCTTTCAGTGTCCATTTGTGTTATGTGTTTATGGTTTCAGGGATAACCACTCTGTACTGAATAGCAAGTGAGGGGGCTCGTCCCTGAGAAAGGCTAACTCTCCTTCTCCCAGCAGTCATTAGTTGCCTATATGAGAAGTGATGTAATTCTGTTTTAATGTAAGATATATTTTAACATAAAAATAAATGAATAAGATGCAGTACTCTGAGTATACTCAAATATTCTGAAACCTCAAAGAGTTAAAGCCTACTATATAAACTGTGTTGGTATGGCAGGGATGAGGGTAGTGTGTCCAGGATGAGGATGGTGTGGCCAGGATAAGGATGATGTGGCCGGGATGAGGATGGTGTGGTCAGACAGGATGAGGATGGTGTGGCCGGGATGAGGATGGTATGGCCAGGATGAGAATGGTGTGGCCGGGATGAGGATGGTGTGGCGGGAATAAGGAGTGGTGAGCTGCAGGAGGTCTGCACAGGCAGCACCCTTCATTCTTCTTTTCCCAGCTGCTGGCTGGACCAAATGAGATCTCATTTGCCTTAAAACTAAGTTCACCTGAGGGAAATTCAGATGCCCTGACATGTGCTTGAAGAATCCCTTTGATTCTCCCAACATCCCAATTTCACTTTACTACAAAATTTTGGTTGCAGGTCCTTTACAGTTTTTTCAACAGCAAGCATGTCTCTTTAGTCATACTTATTAAAGGAAGAAATAAAGGAAAACTCTAGAAGCAATTTCTTCTATTCTTTTCTGTCACAATACTTCATATTATTTTCATTTTTAGGAGTCATATTTCCTAGAACCGCCAAGAGGGCACAGGGACTTCCCCAGCACAGCTGAAAGAACTGTAGGAGTGAATGATAAGGTAGAGATTGTAGTGGGTTGTTAACATCCTGGGGAAGTATGATCCTGTTATCTGAAAAATCTGACAGACCCCTGTTTCCCTTATCAACAAGAAAGAATCATTAGCTGTGGATACAGCGTGTCAAGCAAAACACAGCAATAAATAATGTAGAAAAGAGAGTTAGCTGAGGAACATATATACAAACATATATACACATGTATGCTCACACACACATATATGCACACACATGTACATATATGCTTGTGTCTATGCCCATTCATATAGATAATCTGCATTAGAGAGCAATTCAAGAATAGAATTTAAGGGTCTCCTGGCTGGTACATCCAGAGAACATTATGACAGTGATTACCACTGATTATTGTGATTAAAAAATAAAAAGGCCTTACAAATGGAAAAACCTTAAATGGCCTTGTTAGAGAACATAAACAGACTAAGGCAGTCATTGCAAAAGAGCGACAATATTGAGCTGAGGACCTAAATGGAAAAGATCAGTCCGCATCCCAATGCACTTCTCTGTCTTACCTGTGAAGAAGTAGAAATATAATTCCAGAGTGAATGTCTAGGATATCTCTCAATCTTGTCCTTAGCAAATAGGAATGGGCTTTATGGAACTGTAGGCTGTTTCCCCGCACTGTTAAATCTCAATCTTAAAACTCACCCTGTTCTGCCAGGCAGTGGTGGAACACACCTTTAATCCCAGCACTCAGGAGGCAGAGGCAGGTATGCCTCTGAGTGGAGACCAGCCTGGTTTACAGAGCAAGTTCCAGGACAGCCAAGACTTCACAGAGAAACCATGTCTAGAAAAAAAAAAAAAAAGCCTGTCCCATATAGTTATGTATAAAGTAAGTATTTTTAAAGGGATTAACACAAAACTCAAATACCAAGCAGTGTATTCTCTCTATATACACACATTACTTTTCACATGGTATCAAATAAATTATAATCTTGACTATAATATTATTTGCAGCAATTTAATTTTTTTCTGGGCATAACTCTTATTGTATTGAAATGTGTAAGTGATTCACGTTCAGTGTTTCCAATCCACTTTTCCTGGCTTGTGAAACTTTTTAAGGAAACATTAGCATTTTCAGGCACCAGATGTTTTGACATAAGGAGAAGCAATATGTAAATTTTAATCCATGCTAGGAACAATAGCCCGGAGGCAACTCTTCTTATTATGTGAATCATATACTTAACCACAATGTGGTGGATTCTATCAAAATCCTAACCATCCAGAATGCTGTAATCTTGTCTCATGGTTGCCAATTAATGAAACTGATACCTATTTAAGATGGTTGGTATGTAATGTAACAAATAAGTGATATCATATTGTTCCCGTTAGCCATCACATACTCAGAACTCCTAAGGCGAATAATTTTAACAACTTTCAAGGTGGGTTTTACCCTTCTTTCTGGCAGTTAACCAAATCATTCTTTATATTATATTTTCATGTTTTAAAATTAAAGACGTCAACCATTATAGTAAGAACTAATAAAGTGTGTTAAAGCTTTCTCGACTTTTTGCCTTAACTCAAAGTTTTGTGTGTGTATATGTGTGTGCACATATATGTACCTCTTTGTATGTGTGCTTTTGTGAGTGTGTATGTGCATGTGTCTCTGTGTGTCTGTGCCCATTCCCATGTCTTCATGAGTGCCTCTGTGTATGTGTGTTTTGGTGTACATGTATGTTTGTGTGTCTGTGTGTGTCTGTGTGTGTGTTTCCAATAAAGGACATTTAAAGATGGCTTCAAATGTTCCTTCTGTGTCTTCAGGGGGTGAAGAGAAAAATGTAGAGCTCAATAAAATCAATAAAAAAGGAAAAAACAACACATTATCTAAGTACATATACATTCAAATGACAAAATTCATCCTGTCATCAACCTTTTTAATCTATGTAAGGTTTTTAAAATCATTGGCTTATTTTTATGTGCATTGCATTGGCTATTCTTTCTATACAGGTTTTATCATATCAATCTGTATTTTGAGAATTAATAGTGTTTTACAGCATCTATTTTCTGGTACTTATCCTTAAAAAATAATGAACTTATGTTTCAATCAAAGTATCTTTCATACTAATTTTAAATGGTCCTATTTTATCATTTTTGGTACGAGTATATAAGAACAAAATCCATAAACATGGTATTAAATATTAGAAAGTCTTAACGCTTCTGAATTCCTTATTAATTTCATTATCAAGGGATGGGCGTAGTCAATAGCAATTAGCAGCTTTAAAACGTTTTACACATCAGAATACAGTATTCTATTTATCTTAGATTGTCTGGGGAGCATCTAGTATATTAAAAAGGCTTTGCAGCTTTCTGGTGATTTCACTGCTACCATAGTGCCTGTTAGCAATTTTGCAACATCCTGATAAATATTTTCCATAAATCAAAGCCATAACAGCATGCAGAAGCAGATGGCAGGAGACCACATTAGAGAATGTAACAGTTACTTTCCATAATGGAAAAATATTGGATCATTGTTGTCAGTCTGGCCTGTGTAACAAGCAGTTGTCAGTTGTGAAGTCTTGCAGCACATAAGTATCCTGTCAGATGATTAGCCCATACAGCATCCCCCTCTGCAGTCTATATACAAGGGCAGAATAAAGAGAAGTATATTAAAACCCTTAATGGTTATGTTCTTTCATTTAATATATGCAAAGAAAATATTGGTACATTTAAAAAGTACTTGAACAAGAATTCATGTATGCATTTAAAGTACACCAATGTTCTTCATTTTCATAGAAAAATAAGACACATTACTTTGTTATTAAAATGAAAAATAGCAATAATTATGAATTCTACAGTCTTATTATATTAGCAATGTTTTCTTGATATAACCAATGTTAGACTAAAATTATTGGAATGTTACTTCAGCTACTCATATATATATATATATATATATATATATATATATGTAATGCTATTAAAGTCAAAGATTTTAACTACATTGTTATTATTAAGATTAAATAGCTGAATTAATTTTTAGCTTTGCATGCCATAAGCAGCCTCTATGCTGCTAGATAAGATTCTGGAATTTAGTTTGTCTAAATCTTCATGTACAGATTTTTCAAAGTAAAAGATAACTTATGGTTCTTTTGAAACAACAATGGTTCCCTCTTTCTTTTGACTATTTTATTTGTTACATAAAATAAGATTTAAAAATTATAAAGTTTGCTTTGGCAGAAATTTTTACCATCTTTATAACTTTAAAGGTAACATAGGAACAAGAATGTAATTTTGCAAACAGCAAAGTCATTATTTTTGTTTTTTAAACATACTAAACTATGAAAACCAGAATTTTACTGAGGATCTTATCAGCTGAAACAATGGAAATAATTTGATTGTTAAGAAATACATAGTGTAAGAAATATGCAAACAAGGCCCTCAATGAGGAAAAAAACTTCCCCTTTATATATAGAATGCACACAAGGGTATTTTATTCCTGAATTAGATGGATTTTAGGAGAGAGTGTTTTTATATCAACTCAATTCTGATCATTTCTCATACACTGACATTCTAAATGAAACTCAGAAAACAAAAGAACACGTGACACAGAAACTGTGAAGTAGGCTTTACAAAAACCAAACTTCCACCACCACCAAGTCAGGAGCTGCCTATGTCGGCTAGTTTTGAACCGGTCCCATAGCCTTCTTGGTTTTTTTAACTCACTCTTCACCTGTTGCAGCTTCCCCGAGTGTTCTTATTACAAGGACATAGCACTAGGTCCAGAGGAAGGGTAGCTTCTTGTAGCTTTTTAACCTCTCAATGTAAAACAAAATGTTTTCCTTATTTTCAAATTAAAAACCACACAATAAATAATAAAATGCATATCAGTGAATAATGATAAGAAATTTATCACAGCGTCAGCACTCACTTCACAGGCAATAGGGAGAAATCTCTGTCCGGGTAATTTCCAGGAGCTCAGGTTGATATAAACTTATAATGAGACAAGGCCTGAGGTAGACCAAATGATGTACCTTTATGGCATCTACGCAGTTTTTTCTCATCTATACTGAAGTAAATTCAAGCCTCAGTTGCTTTCACTAAACCCAGATTGACCAAATGCTGATAAAACAGCAATATGATTAATGAATTTGAGTTTTCATGAACAACTTAGATATTATGAGAAAAGAAAATATCAGCATAAAGATATTGTAGAAAAGACCAATGCGCTCAAATTCTTTTTGAGACTTACATTGCTCTGTGTATTGGCCCTACAATCAATAATACATGTCCAATTAAAAATTAGAATGTTCTGTTATGACATCCATTTACTTAGACTTATAAAGCCCTTGTAACAGTCCAAGAAAGGGGGGCATTTTTATAATACCACTAACAATATTAAATGAAAAGAAAAGTAAACAATTTTTCTTTTATGAAATGTAATTTCTTCTAAGGTTGTGGTAAATGGGCACACAAAATCAAGACACTTGTTATATGTATTTTTGAAGGAAATCCCTAGGAAGCATTTTAAGTACAGTCACATTTGAGCACGAAGAAATGAGACTGAAAATGAAGACGAAGGCTATTCCTGGTGTCTGCAGGTCATCTGGCTATTTATTTTTCAGAGGAATTATTTTACCTTTACAGATAAAGGCAGGGTCACTGATAAGACCCTCAACTGAGGGAGTTTGTCCTAGGCACGTGTTCTCCAACTGATACAGGAAGGCTTCCAGAGAACAAGCATTAGAGAAAATGAACACTACACATTACATCTAATCATTGGGGGTCTTATTATTGCCAGAGAATTGGGAAATGAAAAAGGCTGATTAATGCAAATCCACAAGAAGGAATCCAACATTTTATAATAAATGAGAAAAGAGATTGGTTGGGACATTATCTTGAAATTTTTACTAAAGTTATCATTGAAATTGTACATTAATTCTTTGCATATTAGCAAATTGTTTATTAAAAGTGATTTGATAATCAGGCTTCTGTGGTAGAATGCTTTGACAAATAGTTCTTCTGTCTCTGTTAGGTAAAGTCTGCAACAATATTCTTTTATTCATCTGTTTTCATGAGGTTTTTTTTTTCCTAAGATTCCTAGATGCTTAAATAGCTTATTTTTTCAGTTTATATTTTTAACTTGATATTTATGTGTCATGCCAAACTTCACTGTAAGATGTATACAAAATATAATATTTACAGAAAACATAATTTTAAAAATACAACACAAAAGAGTCATTTTTTTGAGTAAGGATTGTTGCTTGGTTGTTGACTACTTTATGAATAGACAACTTTTGATAAATAATTTTACATTTGGTGTGTTTTTACTTTCCTATGCAACTTCAGTGCTATTAGAATTAGAATATTGGTGGGGATAAGTACTCCCTCCACTATATGAGGTATTGACTGACATACACATGTTCATATGTGGGTTACAGATGTGATGCAGAAACTTTTCATTTGATGTCCATGGATACATTTTGGGGAGCTTTAAAACTTTATGTTGTGGGAAAATTATTGTCCATGCAAAGTTCTGTATTTTTCTAGAAAAAGAATAGATGGCTGTTGTTAAGTTCTCAAGGCCTCTATGCCGTGAAGTTAAAAATTACTGTCTAAATGTTTTAAATTATTTTGGACACAGGGGGCGTAATACCATTCCACTCTGTCTTAAAAGTATCTTTACCCAAATTTTAATTTTCTGAAATTACACATTCTGAATGGAGCATTAAATGTATTAGCCTCCTCTCCAGAATTATCAATCTGTGCCAAGTCCTTATCTTACCCAATACCATGAGATCTCAGTTTCACGGACAAGCAGTATTACTTCATGAGAATGGAAGATGGTGTCAAATCAACAGTATCACCTGAAAAAGTCTTAGAATATCACAAAAGAGGACAGTAGAGTCTCAAAAGAAATAATCTCCCAGCTAGAATAGTATGGTTCCCATGGGCCACAAAACATTCATTTCCCTATGATTTGCAAAGTCAGATCAAATTATCAGCCCTGAGGGAAACTTTTGTCATTATTATTAAAAGTGTTAAATGCCCTCTGAAAAAATATTGAGAAAAATCTGTTTTCAAATAACATATTTTAGGTTGACTCAATCCATCTGACTTTAATGGTCATTCCTAGAAATTATGAATATGACAATTAAATTATTTTAATACTCCCAAATCTGAGCTGATATATGGTAAACAAGAGACTATCAATGTCCAGAAGGAGATAGCATTTCATCACTTTTCTTTAGCATAAGGACTTAAAAGATTTTGATGACATATTGTGTACAAAATACTGAACACTTGAATATTTCAGATATCACAGCTCAACCAAGAAATATACATTTTGTTATCTAAATTCCTATTCTAATAGCCAATATAACCTCTAGTGTATTATGGCATCCGCGATGTATTTGTCTTTACAACTAAATGAAAACACCGTTTCTCACACCTCCTGAAGAAAGGGATATAGATCTGCCAACCAAACGTCTCCTGAAGCTATTTGTCTACTTATTTTCTTTGATCATTTGGTTGATAGTGGTCCCCTCTATTAATTCTCCTTGTAGCTATACCATGCATTTTACCTGCTGCATTTCCCCTCAGCTTCGCAACCATCTTTGCTTTCTTTGAATTCTTTTATTTCACAACTTATGTTTAGATTTAAACTCTGCACATTCTCTATCGTTTGGTTTTGTTTTCCTGTTGTCTTGTTAAGTGTCTCCTCAAGAATTAGGTCATGTGCTTCTCATCTGCTTTACATTTTCTCAGGGCCCAGCACAGATCTGACTCTTTCCCCATGAACATTGATTCATTGATGATCATTCATTAAGATATAGTCACATGCCAGATATAGCAATATATGTGTTGATAAATTCCCAAAGTTTAGACAAGTTAGAGAACAATGAAGTACTGTACATGCAAATACTTGCATTGTACTAACTGGTGACAGAAAGGAAGACCATAGGGCACTCTAAGTTTCAAGGGAAAAAGAACTTTATCTTCCCCTCACATTTGAATAAAATAAAAAGTAATTTCAGCTAACAGATTATCAATTGGCAGTCTAATATTTAATATGTAGTCAATGTTTGAGAAAACCCTTATGAATAAGAAATCTATATCTCACATTGGACATGAAAACATATTTTAATCCAAACAAATGTTTCTAGTACGGAGAAATTTTATACTTTAGTTACTAAAATTGATTATCATATCTCTTTTTGAAGAGCAAAGGAATAGTTGGTATATGGTTTATGACATTATTCAGATAATCAGATGAATGAAACAAAATAAGATAATATGCCCTACTTACACTATGTATGTGTGCATTGGTGTAAAACGGGTAAGACTGAGGGCCATGCTCCGGAGCTGAGCCCTCACTGTGGTTCGTATCTGAAGAGGGCATAGATACATAAATATGCAAGAAGATGTTCAGAGTTAGGCTCATTGAACTGATTTTTAAAAGTCAGGATCTAATTTTAGAAAATAACATTTTTAGAAACGTTTTTGTTTTATTTTGAGAAATTCTCATGTTATTACAGACTGAGTTTCAAGTATAAGTAAAACTATTCATTTTATAGTAAATTTCCCAACAAGAGTCCATCTATGGTTCATCAGACAGTGGAGAGGAAATTATCACCTAGTTTGTTAGTCTTGATTCTTTACAAAGGCGATGCTATAAGAGGTGACACAGAATACGGAGGTGAGAGGGGAGTAGTATATTGCAGTCTCTTTAAGGACTATAGTTCCGATAATATCATGTCATTGCTCTGCATGTATCACCCTAGAGTCATTGTTAAGTAAACCACTTTCCAGGAAAATCAAATTTAAAGAAATCTGGACTCTGTAGACAAAGGAGGAAACGAGACTGTGCTCTTCAGCGATTCTTTAACACCATGTTTCCTCTTCCCTTGGACTTGCCGATTGCTTCTAATCACTTTCCCCCCCAGGGGCAACATAATTCCTTTCAGAGAATGAAGAAAAAATAACGTGTGAAACGCAGATCATGATTGCATAGCACCAACATGGCATTTCTTCCTGGTTGATGACTGGAGCCTGTTTGTGGCTTATAGTTCATCACCATCCTCGGAGCTGAAGCTGCTTCGACTGCTCGCTTTGGAAACCGCAGGGGAAGTGGCAGAGAGGAGAGGGTCTGTTCCAAAGGGGCACATTGTATCACTTAGTAGCAAGCCGTCCAATCTTTGCTCTTCCTTCAAAGCGGCACTAAAGGATAAATCTGTGAAGTGGGACAAAGGGTCAGAGAAGGCCACAGCTTGCTCGCAGAACTCCGGGCTTGTCCCCTGAGACGGAGTCAGTTGTTGGCAGCAGCCCACTACTGAGTTCTTCTCAGGATGGATCTGTTGTTTGGTGAGGTGGGGACTGAGATCAGCGGGGCTGAGTGAAGTCAGCATTGGCAGACCGTGAGCCCGTGCTTGTATCTCTAGTTCCTGCAATTTCCAATAAGAAGTTGTAAATTGTTAAATAATGCGTTGGAAAAGTTGACATAATTATCGAAATCAAACTGGAAAAGAAAACAAAACAAATTAGCTAGTGAACAAAATGAAGAGGACGGCAAACTACAAACGTATTTTGTAAATAAGGAAATCTGGTGTGCTTGCAATACCTAAAAATTACTTAAATTAAAGAAAAAATCCTCACAGTGTCTGTAAGCCACATGATATGTGATGGTATCATAGTGGCTCGGGCTAAATAGTGCACTACACAAATTGTGAAAAGTCTTCCACTTATGCCTCCTGGTTCATCTCCTGCTATTATAACTCAAGGGCATTTCACTGAAACAAGGTAAGTGTATAACTTAACCATGTGCCCGTCTGCATTAAGAGGAGAGACAATTATGAAGCCCATGTTTTAATATTTTGTTACACATGAATAGATGAAAGGTAAAATGTAAACTGGTAAAATACACCTTGAGGCAATGAAATCCATAATGATGTTACTAAAGAAATTAAAGAGAAGGGAGAAATTTAGTGTCCGAAATCATCTTACAGAAGCCAAGCGCTTCTCTTGGTTGTTCTGTTTCTGTTTTCCAATGTGAGAGATGATATCGTGTGTGCAGCAAATGAGCATCATTTCCTGCATTTGGTAATTGGTTCTCACCCATTCTGTGTCTAAGTCATTTTGATCTTCGATCTCCAATTAAAATCTAATGGAAACAACCCAATTCAGAAGCTTTAAAAGGCAGTAAATTATTTTTCCAAAGGGGGAGAAAGTTGTTAATAAGCAAATGTATAAGTGAAACCAGTGACGGAAAGCAGTGACGAGTTAGTTATACGTTCTCTGTGCAGCTCACAGCATCCATCTCATGACAACCTGAATCCGGAGCACAAGCTGCCGGTTAGCCTGTTCTAATTTCTTCTGTCTGTGTTCTAACTCCCGGGCTCTCTGTTGTTCTTTCTGTAGCCACTTGATGTACTCCACTGATGCTTTCAGAATGGTTCCTTTGTTCCAGCGCATATCACTGTAGAAGGGAGAGATAACCTTTTCACAATTGTGCATGTCAGCAGAATTCATAAGAACTTACAAAATCTTTTACATTAATATGAAATAATGATTTACATGACTATTATTCACTCTTAGATATTATTGCTTCTGAATAGAAATTTTAATAGAATAGTTAAGAAGCCCTTATATAGTAAAATTAATCCCAGAATGAAAATAAGTGTCAAAAGAAAGTAATAAAGTGACTTTTTGTGGGAGAGCTAAATGCAATATCATGATTCTACCATTACAGTTTTTATATTTTTAGTGAAAATTGCTTTTATTATTAACTCTAAGATTAAAATCTATGTGCAGGATTTCTGCATTAATGAACTAGCAAATGTACATTTCTGACGACTTAAGCCTAAATTTTTTAAGATCATTTCAAATGTACCAATCTTTTAACTTATTTCCTAATATGGTTGCTTTTGTTTCTAAGAAAGAAAAAAGGACATTCTCCCCTGGATGGGGATCCTGAGCAGTTGTGAAACACAGCAGAGTTGGGCAACATTGCTTTATGCAACAGAGCAAGCTTCCTGAAAACATTTAATCATTTTTTTCTGCATAAACAATAACATCATTATTTTTAAAGTTGGACTCAGAGCACCATTTTTAACTATTTTAATATTTTTAAATATTTAAGATAATTAATAGAAAAAAGCATTTCTCAAAAATCGTTTAAGTTTGGCATAGAAAAATATGAAAATACTTTTAATATAGGAGAAATAATATAGAAGTATAGGAGGGGCTAATAACGATCTTAATTTCTGAAAACATTATGGATGTCATGCTGCATGAGAACTATTAATAGCATTAGTAACATGAGCAAACTAATTACCAAATGTTAATTAATGTGGTTAGAAAATGATGGTGACTGAACCTGAAGTTCACTGGCTCTGCTAGATTGGCTGGCCAAGCAAGCGCTGAGACCCTCCTGTCTCCAACTCCCAGCAGACAGATTACAGGCAAGCACATCCAAGCCTAATTTTTATGTGGGTTCTGGGATCTAGACTCAGATCCTTGAACGTGAGTAGCAAGTACCATTCACTGAGCCGTGCCCCTCACTCTGAAAATTATTTACACACATAGAGCAAAAAAAACCATTTTCCAACAGTTGTTTTTGTTTTATTTTGTCTGAGTATTATATTGAAAATAGTCCTTGTTTGTATGATTTTTCTAAGCTAGAATAAAGTTAATAAATTACTCATTATGGGTCAGGAATATAAAGTCTGTGAAACAACTATTTGAACATTACTCATGAAAACAGGTTGGGTGACCATGTCATTAGCAGCAACAAATGAAAGATATATCTTCATCCATTCTGCACAAAGGGTTAAAGACATTTGAGTGGCCAACCGTCTACTGAAATGTACAAAACTACTTCCGCGTTTGCTCATTTTAAATATTATCTACTCAGTTTTCTAGGGCCACCATGACTATTAAGAACAGTTCTATTCATGGGGATTTATCTCATGGTAGACTAATTATGGAAAGACAAGTCATTTCTGTTGTTGAACCAAGAGGTAACTGTAACCGAGAAATACTGTGGTCTCCTGAATCAAAACTTTTAGGTAGTAGCAGGAACCATATGGAACCTTATTTTTGTTTCATTTCCTCCGCTAGGGGGAAGGGTATATGAAGGAGGAAGAATAAGAAACAAAAGACATGGCCCACACCCATGCACATATGACCAACACTAAGTGGATCTAGTTGGATAAATAAAATGTATATCTATAATACATAAATGTATGCATGTACATATATATGGGGAAAGAAATGAATGAGGGATATTTTCAAATTTCTTCATATACATGCATAAAATTTTCAAACATAATGAAAAACTCAAAAGCAAAGTATGATTACAGTCAAATCTAAACACTAAAGCAGATTTAAATTTAAAATAAATCTACAAAATAGAGAGGGAGAACACAGTACTCTTTTGACTGTAACCGATGTCACTTGACTGTTCCTAGAGTTTGCCGCATCTGTTAATATTTGAATAGATAAGGCTTTGCTCTTCAAGTGATAAAACATTCAAATATATCTACATA